GAGGACGGGGAGGAGGAGGAGGAGGAGGAGGAGAGAGCAGAGTATACCGCAGACATCATTTCTACTACAGTGGCGGAGCCGTACAGGACCTGTTTCACTGCAGGGGGATCCAAAACAGCCCCGTGGAGCAGCCGCCCGAGCTACAGCAGCCGCAAGACACTGTTTCTCTCCCTCTGCCCCCCCTTCCCCACGCAACCCCAGATCCATTTACACTTTACAGTAAGTGGCTATTTTTTTCTCCTCTGATTCTCTCTCCCCCCTCCCCCATCCCCTTCGCCCCTTATTTAGATTAAAATTTGCCCCTACCCCCGCTCTCCAGAGGGGCAAAAGCAACAACCAGCAAACAAACCCCAAACCCCAGTCGCCGGCACCGAAAACAGCTGGAAGAGGAGCGAAGGAAATCGACGCGTCGTTGTGGTGTGTGTGTGTGTGTGTGTGTGTGTGTGTGTGTACATACAACCTTCTCCCGCTCCAGCCTCCCGGGCCGACACCCCCGCTCGGGGCGCAGGGACTGACGGCAGGGGGCTGCTGGGCCGGTGGGCGCCCGCCAGGCGAGGGGGCGCGCCCGGGCTGGGGGTGCGGGCGCGGGCGGGGAGAGCGGCGGCGGCGCCCCGCTCCGGTGGCTGCTGGTCCGGCCGCGAGTGCGGAGAGCCGTGTCCCCCTCCCTTGAGGTGGCGTAGGGGTAGGCGGCGGCGGCGGCGGCGGCGGCGGCCGGGGGTCGCGCTGCCCTCTCCTCCCGCCGCCCGCTCCTCAGTCCTCTCCCCCTGTAGGGCGGCGGAGCGAGTGGGTCTGGAGGAGGGCTGGGCTTCCCCGCGGGTGGCCGCCCGGCCTCGGAGCCCGGGGCGGGGGTCTCCCCGCGGAGGCCGGCCTCGCCGGGTGTGCGGCTGCGGGCCGGGAGTTTGCGCGCGGCCGGGCGCCGGGCGGTGGGAGCGCGGGGGGCGCGGAGGGGTGGGCGCGGGGGGAGCCGACGTGCGGGTGCCTGGAGCGCGGCTGGAGCGGCGGTGGCGGCCCTGCTGCTGCCGCCGCCGCCGCCGCCACCACCACCGCCGCCCTGTTGGTGCGGCCGCTTCCTGATCATGTGCAGCCGCCGCCGCCGCCCGGAGCCGGCAGCCCGCGAGCGCCCCAGCTCGGGCCCGCGCCCCCGCCAGCGCCCGCAGCAGGAGCGGAGGAGCGGCGGCGGGCGCTGCCCTGTCGGCGCCGGGAGTGAGCGGCTGCGCGGCTGCTGGGAGGGTGAATGAAGCCAGGAGGAGGGGAAGGAGGAGGCGGCGGCGGCGGAGGAGGCGCTGCGGGGATTGGGATGCGCCCTGGAGCCCCGCTGCTCGTTCACTCTGGGCCGGGCCGGAGACTCCGCCACTCCCGCGGCCGCCGCCGCCGCCGCCTCCTACGTGGTTCCACCGCTGCGAGCAGGCCGGTCCCGCAGGGGGCAGGGAAGGGGCCGGCCGGGCGGAGCGAGAGGTGAGGCGGCGGCGTGAGTGTGAGTGAGCGCGTGCGTGTGTGAGTGCGTGTGTGTGTGTGTGCGCGCGTGTGCGCGGGGGGGGGGCGGCGGGGGCCGTCGCGGTGGGGAGCGGCCCCACGGGGGCCACTTGGCTGACTCTGCGGCGCCCCGACCCCTCCCCAGCCCCCCCGCCCTCAGGCCGCCTTCCTAAACTCCGGGGCTTGTGCTTTCATTTTATTTCAGACCACGTAGGGGGCTGACTGGAAGCGATGAAACAGTTCAGGTTTTCTAGGGAGATTGAGCAAGGACCTTAGTGGGGGGGGGGTGGAAGTAGGGTGGTGGTGGTGATCTTGCCAGAAAACAACAACAAAAAATCAGTTTCCAAGGACCGTGGGGTTCGGTTCAACCCTGTGGCTGTTCTGTTTTGTTTTGCTTTCTCAGTATATAATCCTGCAGATAAGAGGGTAATATAAATACTTCGGGAGATTGGGAAATTGCTGAAGAGTAGTAAGGGCAAGAAAAAAAAAAAGCCAGTCGGAAGCTGGTTATATAATGCGCGATGTGGCTAACGAGAACGGCAAGCTATTTTTATTTTGTTTACCGTATGCTGTGCAGTAGGGACTCCTCCAAACTGGTTCTGTCCCCGAAGAGATTCTTAGCTTCCCTGCGAGATCCACGGGATACAATTAGTAAAATTAGAAGACCCTATTACACCCACAGAATGAGAACTACTGTCTTAGAGTGGCATGCTCCCTGCACATCCCTTCGTGCAGGCTCGGGAATGTGTATATGCAAATAAGTTCTCCTTTGGCAATCTAGTAGTCACATCTCAATGACATTTGTGTTTTGTAATGCAGGCTGTTCTTAATATTTAAACATTGTCGGTACATATCGCACAGAGCAGTGGGTAGTTACTTGATGGTTATTTTTAGGCATAGCTGGTTACTTTTTCAACAGTGTTATTAGCCATTTCTGTTTGGGTTTCTCAGGAGCCCTGTAGTTCCTAGAAGCCCCCGTTAGCCCACCCTGTGGTTTATTTGCAGTTGGATACTTGGGCCTTTTTTCTTTTCCTTTTCTTTCTTTTTTTTTTTTTAATTTCTTTATTTGGTGGAATGAAGCCTGTGCCTGAGGAAACCACCAAAGAGAAGGTTGAGAAAATCCTGCACATGGACTCTTGGAAAGGGATTGCACCATAACAGCTAATGCTGTGGCATTTGATCTCCTCTGATTGTCCTCCAACTGTGCATGCCTCAGTCAATATTTTAGCGGCTCAGCAGACAAATGGGCTTGAGAGCCGCCTTCTGTGTACAGCAGAGGGTGAAGGGCTCCCCTGGACCTCCTGGCTGCCTGTCTTTCTCATCGTGTAGATCCGTGTCAATGGTGTAGGTTTTCCCTGCACTTACTCCGGGCCCTGATCACTCCTGTAATTAGATCAGGCTGCCATGGCAACAGACAGTGTGCCTCGTCCATTCAGGTGGGTTTGTCTTGTGCCTGGGCTACTCCAAGTGTTTTATGCACAGGATTTGTGCTGCTCCAGCCAGAGGAGAGACTCCAGTGCCTCAGTTGTGTCTTCTTTTGGTCATTTGGACAGGAGACACTGAATGAGACTTTGCAGCAACTCAACTTTTGTAAAGGAGACCAGCAAGCTGGTAAATGCCTTTCCCCGCACAGTGAAAGAGGCCTGGCAGTCCTGCTGATGTTGATTGTGAACAGATCAACAAGTATTTGGTACTTGTTAGAAACCTTTCAGAACTTACCAAAGCAATGGTTTTTTTTGCAGTCTGGTGCCTTTGGCCTTGCGGATATTTAACCCCTTCAAGTGGGAAAGCGCCGGTCCCTTAGAACCTATGTTGTCAGTGTCGGGATTCTAAAGGGTTGACTCAGTGGAAGGGGTTTATGTAGGACGGATATCCCCTTGTCACATTTCACAACTTTACCATTATCATAGCCGCTATAATCCACAAAAAATGGGACTGACTGGAGGGACCATTCTGGATGGGTACATTTTTAATTTGGACTTCTTGGCCATCCTTAATCTTTACATCTGTCAGTAGTACCAAGGTTTTTCTCTCAGGTGAGAGATGATAGAGGCCTAGAGCTCGGAGACTGACAATGGGTGATGCTTTTACACAATAAGCAACTTGCACTGTATTTGGAGATATAATTTAATGAGCATTTAATAATTTAGAGCAGCACTCTCCTCTTTGTATTACGATGCCACCTCATTAAGTCTAGTAGGCAAGGAAAAATAATCCTGTTGCCAAAAAATAAAAAGGAGAGAAAAGTAAGTAGCTTTGGTTGCTGAAGCTTTTGTGTGGCGCAGGCGATCCACCTGAGGGGGAGTATTTTAATAACCCTGATATGTGAAAGAGAAAGTAATTGAGAATAATAATGTCTTGATTTGGTTGTGATCCTGCCAGTCTGTTTTTCAGTTTTTAGTTTTACAGCCCCATAGCTAAATTGGTAAATCCTTTTTTTTTTTTTTTTTGCCCTGGGGCTAGGATTCTTTCCCCACAGGGGGTTTACGACTTTCTACCATCTAGTGAGTTTATGCGGTTGGTAACTTGATTGTGGCCTGTTCGGATCAAGTGCTTCTGTGGTTAAAACAAGCTATTTTTTTTCCCCTAAGACGTAAATAGATGGGAAGCAAGGATATGAAGTAAGGCACAGAAGTTTAAGTTGTACACACTTTGGAGGTCCTGGATTATATTTCGCAACATACAGAAAATCTCTTGCAGTAAAACTTGAACATGTATTTTTGAATGCTAAAATAAGTATGAAAAATGTACTTGATTGGGAACTGTGAAAGTCAATACTTTCCTCTCTGGATTTCGTTTTAAGAGGGTTTGGTTAACAGAAATGATATGAAACTTTGTCTGGAATATTATAACTAGGCTCCAGGGCCTCTGAATTGTCTTTTACTCTTCGAGAGAGATTCAAGAAAAATTCTTAGCCATCAGATTCTATGTCAAGTGCCCGTCGAAGGCCTTACATTTCGTTGTCTCTGAGTCCTGGGAAAGGCCAGCCTTAAGAGATTTTTAAAATATTAGTAAATACATTCTGTGACTCCTCTATTTGCTGTCATTACAGAGTTTAAGGACTCACATTCCTTTTGTGTAATATGCTTTTATTTTTTTTTTTTCCATTCTGAAATGTCAAGTGGATTTTACTTTTGCACTTACCTCGAATGACAGTTTCTGATGACTAACACATTGCAACAGCGGCTCATTTTGTTTCCTATTAGAAGTTAGTCGATAAACATATTTTATTAAAACCCTGAAAATTAGTGTAGGAGTGAATGTTAATTCTTTCAACTATAGCTGTGAGCAGGTAGCACATAGTTTAGACTCTGAAACACTGATATGCTTGCATATTGATGTGACAGAGTGCAGGAGACAGGGTAGACATCATTTTCAGGGTGGACATAAATAATTTGATTTCCATTGCTTTTTATTTTCAGAGTTGTTCAGTAATTTGAATGATTGGCTTCTGTGAGAGATTTAGACATGGACAAGCTTAACTGCTTCAAAGAACAGATTTAGTTCCGGTCATACTTCCAAGGTTATCAGAAGCAGGCCCTCCTTATTTTGTAAAAGCATTGAGAATAATACATTGTAGAAATCTCAGTAGAGATAATCATTTCTGTCCCAGGGCGTTCCATAAAGGACTGCCCATTTTTAAGAATGAATTTTGTAGTCCTCAATTATGCTGTTCAAATTTTAGTTTCATTGAATTCAGTTTAATAAAATACCCATTCAACATGTCTTTAAGAGATGATATAATAATGAGCATACTGAATGCTGTTTTAGAGAACATTTTTAAATGTTGGCTGAAAGAGTTGTAATTGGATCAAGGTTTTGAAAAAAATACATATAAATGCTTAAAATTGTAGGAGTGATAAAAAGATTTAGGTAAATCATCTCTATTTGTGGAGACAGTTTTAAAAATCTTTTTCCTGTTTCATAATTTATATATTTTTGTCTTTATCAGTGTAGTAATATATTTTGTAATCCTTATCCATATGAACTTTCCGGGCTAGTGTGCTATAAATGTTTGTAGTGCGTGTTACCTTCCCGAATGTAATGAAACCCATTTAGAACTGTTACAGACAAAAAAAGCGACAAGCATTATATTTTCTTTGATATGTTTGATGTTAGCAGAAACATTTCATTGATTTTTCTATAACTTTTAATGCATACCATTTGTGAAGTAATGAAAATGCAGTGGTAATTGCCATAATGTAAGCAAAAATGGTATCCTACCTGAAAATGACTTTTCAGAAAACTCATTGTAGTGTAATCAGAATTTGAGACTTAAGGGGGCCGAGGTTGCCCTGATTATGCTGTTTTGATTCAGGCTAAGAGGAGCTCTTTATTCCACTTAGGGGCTCTTTAGGCATGACACCTTTTGAGGGAGTTATTTAGCAGAAGTTTTTAGTGATAATTGTCTTAGCTCCTAACCTATAAGCAATTTATCTCCTAACATGCAAAGAAAATGTATTCTTCTGTCACTGTGTATGGCAGATTGTCTTTTATTGCACCCTTAGATTTGGCCTACTCTCCCCGAATTATTTATAATATCTCCTGTATTTATTTATCTATTATTTCCTCTTTACTATCCCGTTAGTGTTATTTAGACCATCTATCTTAGTAAACTTCCTCTATAAATGGAATTGTGTTAGGTAGTTGTGCTGTGCTTTTAAAACATTAAGCATTCTATGTTTAGTGTATATGTTGTAGAAAACATTCTATAGGCTATTATTGGGGTTGTTTTGTGTTTTTTTTTTTTTGTTTAGTATTTTGTCTGTATGTTTTTGCAGTGAATCCACTCTGCCTTGCTTTTTTGGTTCTTGTGTTTCTTCCCTCTGATGGAACAACAAGCTATGTGAACTCTGTTCATTACTGAAACTGGTGTAGCAACACAAATACTTTAGAAATAAGTAGGCATACCCGTGTGAGAGTAAATTAATATTTTACAGCATTTGCATCATGTTTGACTGTTCTGTGCACTTCAGCAGAATAGGAGGAGACTGTAATTTGGACTCTATAAAACCTTATCTGCCAGGTGATATGTAAATAGGACTGTGTGCACACGTAGACATACCGGCAAACACTCAACTGTTAGCTCATAAAGCAAGTGCTGTCTGCAAATCCACGGGACCTGCACCTTGCTCAGAACTGATTATCCAGTATGTTGATGCTTCGTTTGAAAAGTTACTAGATACAAACAAGAAAACAGCTACTGTGGAAGGGCAAAGAGAATCCTCTCTTTAACTTGGCCATGATTGACATTGTAACTCCACAGGTTTCTTCATGGAGGGCTAGACTTAGCGGAGTCTTCCAAGGACTTCAAAGATGTTATAGTTTAGAATAGCTTCCCTATGTTCTCCATACTCACAGATTACATGGGAGAAACCAAGGACTAGAAAACTTAACTTCTTTTGCATATCAGTCCCCGGCATGCAGTAGATGCTTAAGTAAATACTTGGTGAATGGATTCGTTAGAAGTAAGAATGCTTTGGCTACTATTCATTACTTTGAAAAGTGTTGGAAAGTGATTGAAATTATTTTCCTTTCCAGCTGGGCTGTGCTTTTAAAAATAGTGAGTGTGTACGGATGAAAAAAATCATGACTACAGAGATATGTTGCCATGTACCCGGGGATAATTGGCTGACTTACCTGTTTACAGATTATTCACGTTGGAGATCGTATTCATAACTCCAGAATAGTTTCTTTCTGACATCCAATATAATCCTGGGCCTCCTCCTTCCTACTGTTACGTAGCGTGGGCTAAGGAAACCCAAACTAAATTTAAAAATCAGCCCAAACAAATATACAGATCAGCTCTAGTAATCAAAGATGGAAAATCTGCCCAGCAATGACTAGTTGGGGGTTAGTTTATAACTGTGCTTCTGATTCTATTTCATGTGGGCAGTTGGGAATGACCAGTATTTAAAAATATTATTTTAATAGGGCTGAAAACTCTGCTAGCAGATCAAGTCCTCAACTTCTTCCATTTCTGTGCATAGGTCTTTACCTCACAAAAATTACTACAAGCACCAAGCTCCCTGATGGAAAGGTATATGGAAGATTCATTCATTCTCTTGTTCATCCATTCACACATTCACTCATTCATTATACAGTGGATGATTTTTACTTAACCATGCACAAGGCATTGTGGCAAAATGAAAATGAAGTAGACATACATTCAAAAAAGAAATAATTTAAAATCCAGTGGAAAGTCTAGTGAACATGTGCATACTTTCACAATTTTTTCTGCATTTGATACATTTTTCTATCCCATTCGACTGGTATGCCAATAACTGTGCTTTTTTTGTGATTGTTCCTCAAGTTGCATGTTGATAGTAATACATGCCATGTGAAAATTAGACTGGCTTAATTACTGCTATTCAACCCATGCCCATTTCACCTGATATCCTGTGATTACCAGCATGTGTTTATCAGATGATTGGTTAGAATCATTAGGGAAAAGAATGACAGTGCCTGGCTCCAATGGGGAGGCCAAGCTCTTAATTGATTGAAGGGATGACCTTTTTGTGTGGTGGCCTCCCTCTGAGCCCTGTTGACTCAAACCAGACCTGCCTTCTGAGCTGGCTGGTATCTGTAATTCTGATAAGACAAAATGCACAATTTGATGTCCTTAAAGTTTAGATTTCAGTGTACTTAAGATGGAATTATTTTTGGAAGCCATTTGTCCTGGTTTTCATTTTGGATTTCTTCTCCTGCACCCCCACCCCCACCCCTGCAGGAGCATCGTGCAGCAAGTCGCCAGGGTGGTCCGTTCGAGCTGCGGATTTGTGTGTCATCCTTGCAAGGCGGTCTCCTCTTCCACGGCCACTACAGGGAAGTGCATCACATATCAGGTGAGAGTTTGGCTATGTTTGTGTAGTTTCCATCTGAGGATCACATCTGACCCGGAAAATCACCTCGTACCCACGCTTTCACATGTCGCGGACCGTTCGGTGTGACTGCCTTGGCAAACTGCCTTCAGAGGGAAATTGAGAAATTGCCAAGAGCATTTTTAAAAACTTGGCTTGAAGTGTCTCTCTTTTTGGTTTAATTTAGAAGAAAGTGGTTCACGAGGAAGTCTGCATTTGACCTGGTGACGATTGGCCGTTGGTGTGTTAGGCTCGAGCCTGATTGTCTTCATTGTCACCTTTTCCTTAATGCGATGAGACCGTTTCGCTGCCAAACTGTGACCGTAAGTCACGGTTTTCACATTTTAGGTTTTTGTTGTAGAGTGATTCAAGTGTAGGGAGACAGAGGCCTGTTTGTTCAGTGGCAGCCAGTATTTGTCGAATCTTGAATTTCTTTGTGTCTGTTTGGATTTTACAACTTCCTGATTGCCTCACGTACAGTAAATTTTTCTGGCCTGGAGAGTCATGCAGACACAGAGGTGTATGCGGTGTTGATGACTCATGGTTCTGTATTGAAGAGAGGACAAGAAGATCCTGCCTACATGAAATCGGGAGACATGGAAGTTAGAAGTTGGAGCAAGAGGGCTTGGGAGCCCCGGTGTATGCAACCAAAGGGGATCGTGAAATAGATCCCCTCTTGCTATTTACCTTGGGAGTGGTCCTGCTAGGACCTGTGGAAATGGACTCCTTCAGAAGTTCCCAAGCCTGGCTGGGCCACAGAATCACCTGGAAAGCTTAAAAAGAGGGGGGGGGTGGAGAGAGAGAGAGAAGGATTTGGGGCTCCACCTCCTGAATCAAAATGAACCTTTAATGGTCTCTTGGAATCATACTGATGCTCCACAGGTTTGGGAACTGCCGGATCGGGTGGTCTCTGGGCAGCTCTTCCCGAGTCATGTTCTGTTTCCTTCCTTGGCGAGACACATGGTCTGCCGTTTCCACACCTCACGTTTAAAATTCCCGATTTGCAACTAATTTGTTAAGAGGTGGATATTTGCTTTACCGAAATGTTCTGTTGAAAAATGATTCCCTAGCTTTCTTTAAATACAGGGCTCCCCCTCTATACCTAAGATTGAGTTTTTAAGTGAACCTGTAATTTCCGTGGCATCTAAGTTAAGAGCACAGGGCTCTGGAACCAGCCTGTCTGCATTTAGCATCTGGAGCTGCCACTGTGTCCCATTAGCTTTGTGTGCCTCGGTTTCTTAATGAGTAAGGTGGAGATAAGATTAGAACTTTCTTTCTTTCTTTCCTTTCTTTTTTAAAAGATTTTATTTATTCATTCATGACAGAGAGATACAGAGAGAGAATGAGAGAACGAGCAGGGGGAGAGGCAGAGGCAGAGGGAGAGGGAGAAGCAGGCTCCCCGCTGAGCCAGGAGCCGGACGTTGGGCTTGATCCCAGGACCCTGGGATCATGACCTGAGGTGAAGGCAGACGCTTAACCATCTGAGCCACCCAGGCGCCCCAAGATTAAAACTTTCTTCTAGGGCTGCTGTGAGAATGGAATGAAATAATACGTGTATACGGAGTAGGATAGTACCAGCGTATGGTTTGTGATCTGTGAACATAAGTTATCTTTGTGATCATGTAACTTAACCTTTTGACAGGATAAGTATAATGTTCTTGTTTTGTGATGGTTGCTCCTGGACCATACACGACTAGGAGCCGGTAAATACACCTGTACCTTGATCTTTGGACTGACACTGTAGACATTTGCAGCTCTGCAAAGCAAATGAGCCTTTTATTTATTTTTCTGAGTGTTGTGTGAGTCCATGTCTCTTGCTGCGATAGGATGCATACGTGGTGTTTTCCTCTCGTTGTAAGAAGTTGGGTGCACAAATGAAGTTATGTGTGGTCCAAGTAAAAAGAAACAAAAACCGGAGTGACTGAAGTACAATGTCTCAGGAAGGGTAGCCAGAAAAGTCTGCTTGGGGGATGGGGCGGGGGGGGGGGCGGTCAGGAAGTGATCCCAAACATTATATCCTTGAGAAATATGGACCTAGGTCCTTGACATTTTATGGGCAGTGGGTCAGGGAGGTGTCGTTTAAAAGGAAATAGAATAACCCTAAAAGGAAATAGAATAACCCCACGGTTACATGCAAAGGTAAGCTTCTTAAGGTCTGCAAGTGTCAGCTGACTGGAAAGGGGTAAGATGCCTTACCGCTGCTGCTTTATCTCTTAGGGGTTTACCATTTCATAGGCTAGGCAGAAAATCCTCACGTTGAAGTTTTTGGGGCAGTCGTTTTATTGCATATGTGGTTAATACACATGCACGTTTGTTTTTTCACCTGTGGTGTTTAAAGGAGAATTTCATTGTGAAAACGCAAGCAACAAAAAATCCTATCTCTTGGCCAATAGGTGCAGCTTACTGAGAAGACACCGAGGTTTTTATAGTATATTGAGCAAGTCTGAGTGTCTTATGAATACGTATTGTATTACCAACAAAGTAGTACAGAGTCACCTTGAATTCTAAGCAGCTGACATTTTCTGTGATTGCATTTAAAGGAAGCTTATAAGCATTATCTAAACATTTTGCATAAATAATGGCCTCCTTACAGTGCTCACAGTTGATGGTTAAACGTGAGCAGGGAAATAGTATCGTTCATGCTGTGCTCTATTATGTCCGTTAAGGTTTTTTTTTAAATTAAAACCTAGGTTACAAGTATTTCTGGTTCCACTTATTTCGTAAATATGATAGGGCTATAGTGAAGTTATGACCTAGCTTGCTCACAGGCACCATCTCTGTAAAGAAATGATTCATTCATTTATTCACTGTGTCTTTTTTAAACTAGTACATGGTACTGTGGGAATGAAAGTGAGTAAGAGCTCCCAGAAGGAGGTGGCATTCTTCGTGGTCAGGTAGGGGAAAGAAGAAATGCCCGGAAAGAACTAATATAAAGCAGAATGGGGCGAGTTGTCCTTACTGGGGTAAATTCTGACACTGAAGGAATTCAGAATGACGCTGAGTGGGATGGTGAGGAAAGACTTTGAGGAGGAGGGATCATCTGAGTTCAGCTCTGAAGGCTGGTTAGCATTTCTGTGGGAAGAGATGGATGGAGCCGGGGAAGACCGTGTAAGTGGCTGGGACGCAACCAGCGAGTGCCTGGGAGGTAACCCACCAGGCCATTTTGGCTGGAGCACAGGTGCCAGTGGGCATCTTAGCTGTAGATGGGGTGGGAACTCATTTGCTGAGAGGTCAGGTCTGGAGATGAATTTGGAGGAGTCATTGGCATAAAAGTGGTCTTTGAAATTGGGCTTTGGGTTTGCCCAAAGTTTGCCAGGTGGGAGGGGGGAATGACTGTATTTCAAGGGCCGGCATCAGCGGGCGTGGAGTACGTCTGAGGGAAGGTGAGAGGCCGCGGAGAGGAGCTGGAGCGCTGGCGCAGCGCAGCCTTTGTGTGCTCGGTCTGGGGAGACCGAGGGGCAGGGGAGGCTGCTGCCAGGCTGCAAGGGTGGCTGGGTGGACGAGCGGGTCTTCTCCCTGGAAGCTCAGTGCCCAGCTGCAGCTCAGTGAAATCATGTTGAAACCTTTATTTCTTTAAGACCTTTAAAAAAAAGAAAGAAAGAAAGAAACCTGAGCTAATTTTAGCTAAATCTAATATGTGTGTGTATGAAAATGAATGCCGCTTTTGAAATTCAGGGCATGCAGTATCTCTTTTCATGTCAACAAATGATCCCTCTATTTTCCTCTAAACAGTTTTATTAAGATTTTCAGTGGAGCCCTGTACATATTAACAACAATTCCAGCCTTTCTTTTGATCTTTTCCACCGTCGATTTATTCATCTCATGTGATAGGCGTAAATCACTTTGTGCCATCTACTTGACTCTGGAGCTGTTGTTCATTTGTGGCAATTCATTTACTGTACTTTGATAAAGCACAAGAATATGGGTGTGTTTGGTAACTTTAAAGGCTTTCCTGGAGGCTTTATGTGGATCTTTTAAATGTGACATACATATAACACACACACACACACACACGCACACACAAGGCCCAGCTTTCTGAGCAATGTGGCTTTCCATTTATACTTTTTAGAAAATAAAGAAATACAGAATTAGTGAGCCTTGACTCTAGGATGAAAAGATTCTAAGAGTCCATGGCTGAAAGTGAAGGGGAAGTCTGGAAATTATCTGGTTACGTGTCTGTGGGTGGGCAGTCTGTTTTAATATCATTAGAGAAAACTTGCAGATTATTTAAGATTTTTTATTTTTGGACCCGGGTTATTCAGATGGGTTGCTTTTATTCCCCAAACTAGCTCAGAATGAGGCGGTGACTTCCCTACCTTCCATAAAAGACAAGAAGGTCAGGACAGGAGCCAGGGGGATGGAGAAAACACCGTCAGGGGAAGATCATTCTGTCTGCACGTGTTTACTGAGCATCTCCTGCATGAGAAGCATTATGCCAGCCAGGCTCTAAAGGATTTATAGAGACAGTCAGTCGTTCACACTCACTGCGTATTAACTCATTTAATCTTTACTGCAGTCCTTGGAGGTAGCCACTGTCATTATCCATCCGGCAGATGAGGGAAACCGAGGCACAGAGAGGAAAAGTAACCTGCCCCACCAGGTTGATCAGCTGTTCAGTGGGGAAGTCATGCTTGGCTCCCATCCTGTACTCTTCACTGGAGCCATGCATTGTCTCTCAAGCCCTGAGACCCTGTCCGTAAGAAGCTGACAGTTGAGTTGAGAAGGCAGGGCGTGCCCAGGAGTCCTATTTAAAGAGTCACAACAGAGATGCAGCATCCTCTGGGAGGTCCAGATCAGGGAGGGGTTTGTGGATGCTGAGCCTTACCCCCTTTGGGTGCTCACTTGTCTGCTCAGAGTTTCAAACAGGCTGTCCTTGAGGTGTTACCTTCACTCCCCTCACTCTTCCTCATGCCTCCCTGAGATTCCTGTGCACCTTCAATAATTATTAATTGAAGAAAGTGATGACAGCGGCAATACGCTTATCT